GATGCTGATGATTCTGATTCCAGGTAAGGATACAGGAAACATTTTATTAGCAACAAAACTAAATATTATCAGTATTACTATGGTCAATAACTTTACAGTAAATAAGAAAGCTGAGCATGTACTGTTGTTTTAGGGAAATATGGACATGTTTACAGACCCGAGTCTAAAATCTTCGCTCTGATTGTAAACTGCTGCATTCTAATTTATCTTTCATATTTCTCATCAATCTTCTCAACAGTATCTGAAACTGAAATATCCATTTTTATGAAAGTTGGAGATGACGTCACTCTGCCTTGTCTAAATGTGATAGATGAGCAGAATAACTGTGACAGTACTGAGTGGACATTTGTTTCAAGACACAAAACAACAGTAGAGCTGATCACACTTGGACAGACAAAGTCAAATCAGACAGACTGAGTGTTACAGCGAACTGTTCTCTGGTTATTAAGAAGCTCACATTTGAGAAGTTGGTCTTTATTCATGCCTACAGTACAAATTAGGAGAAATACAAACTCTAAACGCTCTGGTTCATCTGTCTCAGGTTAATCTTTTTATTATTAGTCATTGGGAAGCACCTACAAAGAAATCCGTCACAATGAGAACCTGTTCAAACCATTTGATTTTGTGACCAAAGGTGCTGGTGTAATGACTTGTAATTGTGACAGCCCTGACACTTTGATATAAGTACTTGCTTTGATGAATATATTATCTGTTTTGATTAAGGGACTTGCTTTTGAAGCATTGACTACTTATTTTGAGCAACTGACTTTTCTTTTGATGAGGTGACTCACTTTGCGAGTTATCCACCATGTTTGCAGTTTGCACCAATTGTTTTGAGAAGAGCCTTATAGTGGTGCAGAGATCAATTCTGTTGTGAGAAATGCACCAAAGCAACTGAGAAAAACTGTAAACTGCTCTGTGGTGACATATGGACAGTGTCATCACACCGTGAATTGGCTGATTAAACGTCAAGATATGAACAAAGATGACAAAGAAATACTGACCTCCAGACTGACTGCTCCACTACTGTGACCCGTTGGAAGTCTCACTATATCTATCCATCAGATATGGAAAATGAAGTGTGACGTGACTGATGCTAACACAGGAAGTGTGCAGCTGTTTACCTTTAGCTGTCAGACCTCAGATGAGGAAACAGGTGAGCTCACGATCAGCTGTTTAAAACAACTAAAATAGCTAAAATATTAATTAGATTATTTCAGGTGTTTGGGCAAAATAGCTTTTGTTGTGTTTATAATTTTGGGGCGATCGTGGCTCAAGAGTTGGCAGTTGTCTGTAATCGGAGGTTGCCGGTTTGAGCCCGGCTCCGACAGTCTTGGTCGTTGGTCCTTGGGCAAGACACTTCACTGTGCCTACTGGTGGTGGTCAGAGGGCCCGGTGGCGCCAGTGTCCGGCAGCCTCGCCTCTGTCAGCTTGTGGGGATAGGTTAATGATTAATCCAAATGCCCATAGGTGTGAATGTGAGCACGAATGATGTCTTTGTGTGTTGGCCTGCGACAGACTGGCGACCTGTCCAGGGTGTACCCGCCTCTCGCCCTATGACAGCTGGGAGAGGCTCCAGCACCCCCGCGACCCTAAGAAGGATAAGTGGAAGCGAACGGATGGATGGATGGATGGAAGGGGAGACCTTGGCAGTACAATAATGTAACATTTAACATTTCAACCTAACACTCAAAAACACAAAAGAAAAGAAAACTAAGAACTAATGGAAAGAATATAACTGAAACCACAGGTAATAATAAACACAATGCCAATTTATTTGTCTCACAATCTGATACATTTGGTTTTGGGTTTTTTGCTTGTTTTTCACAGGTACATTATATAAAGATGATTTTCAATAAAGTATGAAAGCACTGGAGCTCTGGTGTTTCTGTCAGATACCACTGATCCACAACATCAGCTCAGCAGAAAAAACTGCTGTTGTATTATCAGTATAATCTTATCTAGTTTAATAGATTTAATCCTATTGTTACGGCTCTGGCCATCTTTTGAATCACAGTGGCTGGATTTTGCTGGCAGCTGCTGATTGGTTCCATCATCAAGTGGCTGTTTTAAAAATCCTCTCCAGCAGTCTCCCCGGCAGTAGCTGACAGCAGCAGCAGGCCCGTCCTTGGCCTCCAAACCATCTATGACAGATCTGGGTGTGTGATTTCAGAGAACTGCCAAGTTTTGTATTTAGTGTGTTGATACTTTGACTTTTAACTAAGCACTGAAGCAGAAAGAGAGAACTGCCTTATTATTTCTATCATTTTTTTCCCTTGTTTATTCAATTAGCGAGTTGGGGGTAGCGCTCGGCTTTGTTTGTTTTAGATTCTAATGACCGTTATGGGTTTTGTAGCATGAGTTTATTGACCGTTAAATACCATTAATCTGTATCAGTTTCTTCCTTCTATTGCTTACAATAATGTCATCTGGAGATAAATGTTTTTCTATTCATTTGTTATCTGCCCACAACTAGTTTTGCTCTAAATGAATGCCTGGCTCATTAGGTGTTTGTCTGGTCTCTAGATTTATTTGTCTTTTTTCATTTCCTATTTTATTTTGGTTAGTTTTCTTTCATTTCTTGGTAGCTTTACTAACACCTTTGCCAACTCTGCCGTGATTGCCTTGAGCTGGTGTATTTACCTTCACCGGTTTCTGCCTCCCAATTGTGTCTTGTCTTCCTTTGCCCTTTTTAGTTTACTGCCTTTGCTGTGATAGTTTCCCTAACTAATCTTATCTTCCTTGCGTCAAGCTGGATTTTGATTTGGGTGTCCTGTTTTTACTGTTCTTATTTTGTATTTAGCCAAAAGAAAAAATCCACTGTGTAACTTGAATAATACCGACAGGCCTGTGACTGAACACTGGTTATCACAAATAAGGTGTTCGTGATATATTTGTTTGAATTTAATTTGCTGAACTCTAGGGTTTTTAAACACTAGAGCATATTGATGAGCATATTAATATATTATAAAACATATAATGAGCATACTTATTTACCATTCACAGATTATGTTAAATGCTACTGCTGATAACCCTGAACCACAGCCTCTATTCTCACCACTTACCGTTTTCTGTCAGAACCAAGAGTGTCGCTACGAACCCAAAACATTTGGGGGCCTTACCTTCCCTTAATTTTTTAGATTTTCACTTGTAACAGCAGATTCTTAAAAAAACAGTAAATGAGCCACACCACATTGTAACGAACACACTTCCTCTCGACCTCATCAGGGGGAAATTACTTAAGATTAACGGTGAGGAACTGTTGGGTTTCACTCCAATAGCCATATCTGCTATATTTCCTGTACCTGCAGTTGTAAAATCAATTCTATCAATTTCATTGAGTCCTGACACATTAACTGTCATGCACCTTCTGATTTAAAATATTTAAAAAAGGGAGCTGCATTATTCCAAAAAATATCTCACATTCGACTTCTTTATTCATTATTTTTTTTCCAATGTCAAACACATCAATGTCACAAATCAACTGTGAGAATGACAAAATATGAACCTGCCAATCTTCATATAAATTTCCTTTAGAAAAATGTTTCAGAAAAGCTGATTTACTCCAGCTGTGTAACATTATCATTCAACATAAATGAGAGACGACTAAAAATTGCTAAATTTGTGGTGAAACATGACAAATGACAGGAAGTACAAACCGTCCTGAAGGGTCATCAGTTCAGAGACTGTGACAGTTGAGACTGAGAACAAGAACGAAGTGAGACAGAGAGCAGAATGGATGAATTCAGATGGATTCAAATGTTTTTATGTCTGATGCTGATGATTCAGATTGTAGGTAAGGATAGAGGAAACATTTTTATAGCAGTGAAATAATAATCGTATCAATATTATTACAATCACTTACCAATAACATGAATAAGACAGCTGAGCATGATCTGCTGTTTCAGGGAAGCATGTTTATAAAGTTGTTTCTAAATTGATTTTCCACTCTTATTTGTAAAAAGTGCTGTATTCTAATGTTTTTTATTGGTTTTCTTCAATGAAGATTGTTGATGACGTCATTCAGCCTCGTCTAAATGTGATGACCAGAATAACTGTGATGGTACTAAATGTTTTTTATTTCAAGAAACTAACAGCACAGCTGATCAACCTTCGACAGATCGGTGAAAAGGCCACAACTAAACCAGACAGATTGATTATTGAGGTGAAATGTTCTCTCTCTGTTATAAGTATTACCCTATTTACTGAGCAGGATACAACACAGTGAAGTGTGAGGTGACTGATACAGACACAGGAAGAGTGCAGCCATTTACCTTCAGCCCTCAGCCCTCAGGTGAGGAAACAGGTGAGCTCACGATCAACTGTTTAAGATGACCTCAAATATTAGTTGATAGATTTTACATTTTTAAGATCTTTTTTTCATTAACAACTTGTGAAATAATGACACACTTTTTGGTTTGCTTTTGTCATTTATTCAGCTGAAGCAAACAAACAAAGGAACCAGCGAGAAAAACTGAAAGCAGCACAAATCAGAACCAAACACAATCAGCAATCCTTCAAATCACGTAAGATTATGATGATTAAGCAGGAAAAACACGTTTTCTTTTAGAGTTTAAGGAGAGTTCATACTTTAGTTTACATCTTTTTTCCTAATGAATATTATTTACATTTTGATGACAGAAAATCACTTACCTATCCTATAGGAAACATAGATGTAACATTTGATATGATGGTGTGGTTTGGCAGGAAACATTGTTCACTTGAGTATCATGGCTGTTAAATGGTGTGAAACGTTTTCAACATTAACATGCAAAAATGTTTCAAATTTGTTTTGTCTGCTTTATCGCAGCTATTTCGTGGTACATCAATGGAGCTATTGGTTGGTCGCACTGCTGATAACAGCTGTGTGTCTCATCATAAGGAAAAGAATGAAAGGTAAGAACATTTACAGATACAACATTTGTAAGTTGTTCTATGAATGTTAGAGTTGACTGTTTTTGTCTTTCCAGGAAACAAAATGCAGAAGAATGAAAATCCTGTGAGTTTTTGAAACATATAATTAAATATTCCTATATCTGCCACTAAAAGACAATTAAATAAACCGCTCATCTTTGAGGGAGTGTTAACAAGAACTAAACTGCCTTCATAGAAATGCTTTTCCACCAGATGTACCGCACTATTGTCTGTTTTTCAGGGACTGAGTTCAAACCCTGCAGAGACTCAAACCAATCAGAACTCGGTGAGATCACCCACTACACCTAGAGTTAAAACACTTCTTCTTATTCTCTAAAAAATTGTAAATGCATGAACTAACTGAAAAAGCATCCAAAAGATAAGAAAGTTAGGCCAAAAATAAAATCAGTAGACCACACCATGAATCGTAAAACCTGAAGTAAGAGGTCAAAACACAAATGCAATATCTTGAGACACCATTTCTGAGAAATTAAAGTGATGAATGAAGAGTTGTTTATGTTGCATTACAGTGAGACATATTTTCAAGGATAGCTGTTGGCAAGTAGGATCCAAGTGCAGAACTCAAATCCATGTTAAACTTAAAAAGCAGCTTTATTGCTGACTTAGCAGGCCAAAATGCAAAACACAAAATAATTCAGGCAACACTAAAAATCTGGAAGTCACAAACTAGCCTCTAAGGAACATAGAACATAACAAAGAACAGAAGCAAACTGGGGCTTTAAATACACATGAGGAGATTAGGCCATAGTGGAGACTAGGAACTCAGTTGTACGGTGGCCCTGAGAGGCCACTGCAACTTAAGAAAACACCAGCAATAAGAAAATGCTGCAAAAGCACACAAAACACAACAAAAAGAGGAAAAACGACAACGGATATAGGAAAAAACAGATTTCCAAAGCACAACGTGTTTCTGGGGAGACAATACCCGACGGACCAGTTGCAGGAACCAAAATATGCTAAGAATTGCGCTGGGAGACACTTAAAAGAAGTGGAGGATTTATCGGTTTTGTGAGGAAGAAAAGATGAGTGGTATATGTGTTAGCCTAACTATTAGCCTAAAAATCCATCATCAGTATTATATGAGTCATGATAAAACACACCTAGCATGTTTTGGGTTCCTGCAACTGGTCCGTCGGGTTATTGTCTCCCCAGAAACACTCCCCTTTGCTTTTGGAAATCTGTTTTTTCCTATTTCTGTTTTCGTTTTTCCTATTTACGTTTTTTTTTCCTATGTCTGTTACCATTTTTCTTATTTCTATTTTGTTTTGTGTGTTTTGCAGTGTTTTTATTGGTAAATGGACTGATTCTTATATAGCAATTTTCTACTCTCCCAGTGCTTTGACTACTGTAGGGGCACTGTAGGGGTGGCTGTAGCTCAGGTGGCAGAGCAGGTCAGCACTAATCAGAAGGACGGTGGTTCAATCCCAGGCTGCCTCCTGGCTGCATGCCAAATATCCTTGGGCAAGATACTAACCCCATGTTTGCCTACTGGTGGTGGTCAGAGGGCCCGGTGGCGCCAGTGTCCGGCAGCCTCGCCTCTGTCAGTGCGCCCCAGGGCAGCTGTGGCTACAATGTAGCTTGCCATCGCCAGTGTGTGAATGGGTGAATGACTGAATGTAGTGTGAAGCGCTTTGGGGTCCTTAGGGACTAGAAAAGCGCTATACAAATGCAGGCCATTTAAACAACATGCCTCATTCACCCATTCATACAAGCACTTCTAAAGGTATAGGTCAATTGAAAAATCTAAATTGCCCATAGGTGTGAATGCAGGAGTGAATGTGAGCGCGAATGGTTGTCTGTCTCTGTGTGTTGGCCCTGCGACAGACTGGCGACCTGTCCAGGGTGAACCCCACCTCTCGCCTTATGACAGCTGGGATAGGCTCCAGCACCCCCGCGACACTAAAAGGATAAGTGGATGGATGGATATTACTGAGGAGTCAGCATGTTTTTCTCTTCATTGTTTAGGTGGATCCTGAGTTTCCTATGTCACCATCAGCAACACCTAGAAAACCAAGATAAGGTGTTTTGTTTAGTGATATGTTTGTTTGTTTGTTATTATTTTATCTATATATCAGACAGCTTTTTTCAGATTCGTGTTGATGATGAAATGATGCAGTGACTTCTGCTCTACTGTCAATTTTAAAAATAACATAGTTCAAGCTGTTGAAAAAAAAGAATTTGCATTTAATGGAAAGACAATTCTTGAATATTGTTTATGGGTCCAACAGATTTAAAGAAACACCAGTTTTTGGGACAGTGCCCAGCTACATTATAATACACTTATTTTTCCTTTTTTTAAATGAAAATATAATTGGTAGTAGGAGTTCTTTGCTATGGATATGAGCAGTTGCTCTAAGAGAAGGCTGGATAGAAAACATACAACTAAAACTATTGCTATTGCTAGACTATTGAACAGCACACAGGATTCAGTGCCATGGTCATAGAGTTTTGAGTTGTATTTGAGTTTCAAATTTGTGTTCTGAAGATCTTCCTTAGCTTCTATTTTTATTATTTATTACCTGTTTTTACTGTTCATCTTATTTTGAATTTTTCCTCTGTCAAAGAAAAGAAATCCAAAGTACTGAAAGGAATCTATGCTCTTTATTTTGTTCTCATTTTTATGATGATGGGTAGGTTGACAGTTGAGGTCAGGCAGGAGTCTCTGGTCTATTATGTTTGTGGACAACATTAAGAAACAGGTGAAAGACGGCCTGTAGCGGTGGAGGAGTGTTCTGGAGAGAAGTTGTGTGAATGAGAGGGAGACAGGTTTAACAGAGATGCTTCAGGGAGTAGAGGTAATATAGGTGGAGAAATTCAAATACCTGAGGTCAATGAGCCAAAGCAACATTTATGATGTTATTATCATTGTGTAACCACATCATTTCTTTAGGGATTAATACATTTTTCTGATTCACTGACACGCTGTTGTTATTTTAATCTGATAGAAGATGTGTATTCAAGTCTTAATCCTCTCTTATAATATGACTGTTGTTAAATGCCTTTAATGCCTTTATAGTTTGTGTAAGTGAAATATGTGCAGTGTCAAAAGTCCAGTATGAGTTTTATAACATGTCTTTCATGATGATTAAATAGAATCTGAATCAATATCTTGAATATTCTTTTTATAGTAATGTAATCTGGAAAATATGCATTTCTATTAATTTGGTGAAATTCTATTTTTGCAGAACAAATTTTAAACTCTCACAGTTTATGTCTGAGCACTTTTTTGTGTATTATTCCTTTTGTCCGCCAGAGGTCCTCAGTTTTCCAGTATTTGCACAGTCACCTGTTAGAGACTTAGAGACTTAGACTTAGAGCTTTTTATTGTCATTGTGCAGTTTCTTGCACAGCGAAATTGGGTAGCTGAACCACAAGGTGCTAAAGTAAGAAGAGAAACCAATATACAACGAAGGCGGAAAATAAATAAATAATTAAATAAATAGAATAAAATAAAAAACAGTGTATATGTATACATATGTGAGTGGAACTATATACATGGTGTATGTGTAGGAAACATTGAAACAGACTGGGACCAAAATAATTGCACATGAGCCAAAAATATTGCACAGAACATGGAAAGACTGAGATATTGCACATAGATGATCAACAGCAGTGTCAGGGTGGATGTGTTGGGGAAGTCTTTACACACTCTTAGTTTGCATTAAGAGTTCTGACAGCCCACGGGAAAAAGTTGTTCTTTAGTCTGTTGGTTTTGCACCTGATGGATCTGAGCCTTTTTCCAGAGGGCAGGATGTTGAAGAGGTGGTGGTTAGGATGGAGGTGGTCCTTTATAATTGCCCTGGCTCTGGAGAGACATCTTGAGCTGGCAATTAAGTCCAGGGAGGGGAGTGGACAGCCGATCACCTTCTCTGCAGTTCTGATGACCCTCTGTAGTCTCTTCTTGTCAGCTGTTGTGCAACCAGCGTACCACACAGGGATGGCGTGCACCAGCACACTCTCTATAGTGGTAGAAGGACACTAGGAGGTCAGTCTGCAGCCTGTTCCATCTCAGCACCCTCAAGAAATGGAGGCGCTGCTGGGCTTTCTTCACTAGAGCTGATGTGTTTGTGGACTGTGTGATTCTTACTCTGAATCTGAATAAGTACGCGGGACCACTGTGTGCGGTAAGACCATCTCTTTTCTTCCTGTATTACCATCTACCGGCATGCATTGCCAGTGCGTAACACGTAATTACACAATCAAACAGTGAACACATACTGCCCATACAACAAATGTACCAGAGACAATTATGAATACACCACATCTCCCCTTTTAAACAAAAACAGAATATTCCTTTTCTCAGGACAGAACTTCTCTTTTTCAAAGCCATACAAGAACATCTGGCAAACAATCTGCATTACATTTTTAACCTTTTGTTTTTGTTTTCTTGTTCTTTTCTTTTCTTAACAACTCTTTTTAGCTTTATTTTACTGTGCTCTACAAAACCCTTATAACACAGTTACATAACAACAACCTTTCTTTTTTTTCTTACAGATCTAACTTTTTAGGTTTAACTATTGGCCTCCCTGACTTGGTTCTGACCACATCAGTGTTAACAGGTGTAGCAGGGATCACACTGGGTGTTTGAGGCTTCTGCAACACAGGCACATTAGCAGGTTCATGCACAGGTGAACTTAAAGGAATCAAATGCACACGATTACGCCTCACAGTCCCTTGTGGTAACTCCACTGTGTATGATCGGGGTGTAGAGTGATTTTGGATAACAGTGCCTGTAGTTTTGACATCAGTCACCCAAACTTGCTCTCCTGGGGACAGGCTGCATAAAGGTTTTGCGCGGTGGCGCCTGTTGAAGTTTGCCATGTCCATCATCCTCTTCTCCCTTTCCTTTCGAGCGAGCAGTGCGTTGTCCGGCAGTGTGGGCTCCAGCTGCGATGGAAGCATCGGCAGTGTGGTTCGCAGACGTCTGCCCATTAAAAGCTCTGCAGGGCTGTATCCGGACTGCAGTGGTGTAGCTCTATAGGCAAGAAGAGCTAGATAAGGATCAGCTGCTTTTTTCAGAAGATTTTTACAGTCTGCACAGCACGTTCTGCTTCTCCATTACTTTGCGGAAACTTGGGACTGCTTGTGATGTGTTTAAAGCCGTATGCTGCTGCAAAGTCTGTAAAGATTTGACCTGAATACTGTGGCCCATTATCAGACATGAGGACCTCTGGGATGCCGTGACGGGCAAAGAAAGATTTCAGGTGAGTAATGACATCGTTTGATTTTGTCCTGTTTAACAAAGCAATCTCAACAAATCTAGAGTGATAGTC